CACACACACACACACACACACACACACACACACACACACACACACACACATGCTCTCACTTCTCCATTACTCCACCACCTACACCTTCAGATCCAGGCCCTCCGGGTCCTGTCCATGCTCTGCAGAAAGTGAAAACGTTACTATTGGTTATGAAGTCTGCTTGAACAAATGGCCCAGTGTTCTCAGCTGAGGAAGACCTCTGATTGTTCTCGCCACAGACGAGCTGTGAGCTGAAGTGCCGTGAAAGCCTCTGTAGGCTACAAAGCTTTTGTGATTTGCTTCGGGCTGACAGTGACTTCACGGTTAGAAGAACATCGGCGTCAATGATATCGCTATGAGACATTTTATCTTATTCGGGTTAAAAAGCACAGCTTTCCCCCAGCAGACTTAAAAACAAGCTAACTGCAGTCAACTGGGGTAATTATTTCAGGGTGACTCATTACTGTAATGTAATGTGAAAAAACAACTACGGGTATGCTTTCCTTAAACAACAAAACATGCTAAAAAGGCTTTTTTAGAAACAGAATTTAATAACTTTAGAGAACAGTTAATTGATTCGACTCTCTTCAAGTCAGAAGACCGAGACTTAAAGGAACTCATTTCTAAGAACCGACAATGAAAACTTGGAATTTTTATTTTAATTTAAAACAATAATACACACACTTCTTTTAAGGTCCTCATAAAAGATTAGTGACTCCACTAAGTCCCTATAATATTTTACCATGCTGCTTTTATTTCTGTTAATTTGTTAAAAAGATAAAACTGATAAAGTTAACTCTAGCTTGAAATGAAAAAAAAGCAATGCCCTAGATAAAAACATGTAAAAGTTAGGAAACATTTTTTAAGGATCATTTCCTTGTGGGGAATTCCATTCCATGACATTTCTACTAAAACACAGCAGCAGAGTGGAAAATATCAAAATACTAAAATAGGCATAGAAAAACAAAATCTATCCTCTGTTTTGATATGAAAGTGTTTTCATTCTGTAGAAAATGAACGGAAGCAAGTGTCTTCTTCTAGAGGGAGGAAAATGATCCCTCCAACTCTACTGACTGTAAAGACATTAGCAGCAGTGGAAGTGATGTAAAATAGAGCTGACCTTTTAGGATGATGTTGGTTTTGGTGGAAACTGCAGATTTTTGTACGTCAGAGATGAAAAAAAATCCTTTTTTAGTTAAAAAAAACAAGTTTATGCTTAAAGACACACACAGAGGCTGTTTGCCCTGCTCTGTCAGCAGGACTTTGTGTCACAATCAAAGGCATCCCAAACAGTAGTGTGAATGTAAGCATGATGCACATGGCCCTGTTGTGTCTGGCATTTAGGTCAGAAGAGCTGCCTGTGGGTGGGTGAAAGACACATTTATGCACATGGGTTCACGAATGTGTATACGAGTTTGTGTTAGGGTGCTGGACACACGCTGGATATTGCTATAATTTAATCAAACTCTTCTTAACCCTCAAGCTCTGCTAACTAGGTCTCAGTGGTCACAAGAATCTCATTGAGCAAGTCAAACGTCATGTGAAAAGACAGTTAAAGGGTGTGCTCTGGCAACCCAGATAAAGCGTCATATACTATCGACACAAGCAGGGAGGCAGGCAGAGAGACAGACAGCTGGAAAAAAAAGATGGACCAGCTGCAGGAATTAAAACAAAATGTGCAGATGGAGGGGACAGAAAAAGAACAAAAGTGAAGGATGGCGTGTGTGTGTGAGGGAGACTCTTAAAGGGAAAGAATGCAAGAAATGTGGCTTCTTACCAGCCCGATAAACAAAGTTCGCCTCAGCCTCAGAGGAGGACGGCGAGAGCAGCTCATCGTCATACTCGTTGGAGCTGAAAGAGCCGGAGTGGTTTCTCTTTCGAGCGTCCATGACGGCGTTGGCCACCATGACGTGGCGCAGCGAGTCGTTCAGGTAACGGTGCAGCAGGCTGCTCTTGTACTTGGGTGGAGACACGTAGTCCTCCGCCAGTGAGGCGGCTTCGGCGGCCGAACGCAGCCCCGCGCCCATACCCATGCTCATGCCCATGCCCATGCCCATGGCCATCCCCACCATGGAGGAGCCCTCCTTCTTGATCACACTCTGGTACATGGGCTTGTTGAGCTCCTCGGGGCTACTCTGTGTCCTCTGAGGGTTGTCCCCATCTGTGCCAGGATAAGAATACTCATTTAGATGGACTGCAGAAATATATTCTTACACTTTCACAGCTGTCAGCAGACGCCGCACTCAACTGCTGTTCAGAATTTGCGTTTGAGAGGATCAGCCGATCAAAAGACTTGAATTAAGGAGGAGGGGGTAAGATTAGAACTGTGAATCACACAAACCTTTTCAAGTTCATGTTACACGTTTATATATTTATTAAGAGATTTCAAAAAATTAAGATTTTTTTAAAAATTTTCTAAACATGAGCTATAGAAGTTGGACACTGTTCCTTAATGGAAATGTTATATTGGATGATATGGATTTGTATTTGTTGTGTTTCATTTGCTTTCAGGTTTCTGTCATTGTGTGCAAACAATACTGTCGCAGTCACTGACTGCACATAAACCCACAGTTACCACATATGTAGTTCACAAGCTAAACACTGTAGTTAATCAGTGCTAAATGCCCAAAATGCATAAAATGTTTTAAAGATTCCGATCTCTACTACTGCACATGGAACTCAGTCAATGCATTAAGGGGAGTTTAAACAGGAATTGCGGCTGGAGCTCCAGTTAGCACAAGTGTATATAACAATCACGCACATTTTCTTCAGCAAATATTGTATTTCTAGAGTTAAAATAATTTTCCAAGTTCTGTGCGTCCCATCTGACTCGGGTGCTGGTTATTTTGAGCTGAACTTGAATCCAAATACGAGGCAGGGAGATTTGAACCTGGCACTCCTGCCCTCCCGTTGGCTCTCCTTCAAGAGCGGGAAGCACAGCCGAGACTTAAGACGCATTACTGAATCATAACGGATGGTAGTCAATTTCCTCTCCATCAAAAGCAAGCTGCCCCTAAGTTCCCCTGCAGAAATAAATAATTTCCAGGGTGCTGCTTTGCAACTGGAGACACTGAATTAAAGCACAGGTCCAAACCTGATGAAAAGGTGGGGGGGGGGTAGGAAGATAAAACACTGCACAGAAGAACCAGATATCCTCTGGCAGAAGGGAAATTAGGGAGAAGTTCGCTCTAGATACCGTCTCTGCCAAGACCATAATTTTGTAATTTGGACAGGTTGGACATTTGATTCAGCCGGAGCCAAATTAAAATTATAGCTCCCACATATCAGAAACACATGGATGGAGAGTATTTGCTCTCCTTCCTATGCGCCATCAGAGAATCAGCATTTTTCCTGTTGTCACTCAGACAATAAAATAAATCTTTTCACATCAAGTCCTTGCAGTATTTTAAAGAAAACAGGCCCCTTTTCGCACCTCCATGACACTCCAGTTCACAAAACAGAAAACAACATTTTCTCTGCACTTCAACTCCAAAACAAGCTGGACCATTTCAGACAGTAAGAGGAATGCACTCCGGGTCAGTGGGGTTAGATCTGGCCCCATAAATAGACTCTGGAACAAAAGCATAGGCTTAAAAACATAATAGAGGGCCTTTTAGCGCGTGGGTCAGAAGTGGAAGCAGGCTGCGGATAGCTTCATAACCATAATATGACAGGGAGAAGAGTCAGGGAGATATACAGAGCCTCCGGTGGTACAGTGGCCTGTGGCAGACACAATGCAAACACCATGCACACATTCTTCTGTGAGCCGCACACGGCTTCTGCTCCTCAAAAATCTAATTAGAGATCACTGACACCACAGCGCTCGTCCTTTCTCTCTATTCTTTCACTGCTCGGGGATATAAGTTGTATTTTTTTATGTTTCCTACCCATGTTTTCTGTGCTGTCATGGAGTACAAAAAGGCAGTCTCTCCCCTCTGAGGATCAACATGTGTTTGCAGTAAATACACTACGCTGACAGGGAGCCGCTCATTTGCAATTGCAGACTAGGAGGCAGAGGTTGGCTCAGCAGGGTGTCCTAATGACAGCGTGTCGCAGCCCATCGGCCTCGGCGTCTCTCAGCTGGATCACCATTTATATCCAGCCCAGAACACTTTTCTGCAGAGCGTCGGGCCACTTTAGGAGGAACTCGGAAGGAGGTGGACTGGCCTTTGGCGCCGGTTCACTCCGTGACACTACATTTAAAATTTTGGGGGTACAACAACTATGATGTAAGTTCGCAGGTCAGTCGGTACAGAGTGCATCAGGTTCGCAGCATGTGACCAGTTTATATAAGAGAGCCATTATTATGTGATATCTCAGAAGTGATCTTCCATCAAACTGACTGAGCAGCACACGTTTTCCACTGTTCTTTAATGCACATTATTGAATTATTCTAACATTCAGCATTCAAGGATATGCTCTCAGCGAGAGACAGAGAGCTGCAGAATAAGAGCGAAAGAGCAGGCAAAGGGTCAAACACCAAATCAGAACAACGCTGCTCATACACACAGAGAAGGAGTGGCCTTTCAAATATCATCATTATTAAAATTCTGTTAGATTAACTAGTGCCAATGAAAATGGATAATATGCTTTGGTAAATGGAAAAAGAATTAATCACATCAATCTGCTCTGTGTGCTGTGCATGGGTGCACATGGTACAAGTCTGATTAGTGCATGCTTCTAATGATCATTACGGGCAGTTCTTTTTTTAAAGATATAAAGTAAAAACAAATTTTTGATACTATGGACACCGAAAAATCTTGTTTCTGTTTCGCTGAAAGAAAGAAAAAAACATTAAAAAATATCTATCAATCTATAGATAGATTGATAGATATGTCATCTCTCAGTCGGAACAACACAAATTTGATGGGACACAATGATCTTATGTGTGTTCTATGTAAAGTTATATGTGATGGAAAACTTCCATAAATACGAATGAGTCACAAGTGACTAATATACAGCACGTGCACTGTATCTATGCCAGCTTCCTGGGAGAGAAGACAATATAAATATGTTTTTACAGTTCATGTGAACGAAGTTAAACAGGGCACCCTTTTAATTATAACTGTGTGAATAAAACTAATTAACCATATTGCAGATCAAAATTAAACATGCTAGTAAGTAAAGGGTTGTTAGTTATCCATGCCTTTGTTTACACCCGGCTGGATTACTGTAATGCTCTTTATATAGGGGTCAGTGCTTCATCAATGACTCATCTACAGAGGGTGCAAAATGCTGCAGCTCGTCGCACTCGAAAGTGTGAGCACTATTTTAGCTTCACTTCACTGGCTGCCCATTCCTTTGAGGATTCATTTTAAAATTCTTTTATTTGCTTTCAAAGCCCTCCATGGTCTAGCCCCATCTTATCTCTCTGAGCTGTTACAGGCTTTATACACCCACCCGCTCTCTCAGGTCAGCTGATCAGCTGTTTCTGAATGCACCCAGGACTGAGCGTAAACTTAGAGGAGATCGTGTTTTTGCTGTAGTAGCTCCAAAAGTGTGGAACGCTCTGCCTTTAGAGATTAGACTCTTCTCTGCTTGTTTTTAAATCACCTCTGAAAACCCATCTCTTCATGTTGGTTTTTAGTTTATTTTTATTAGTTGATTCTATGTTGTTTTATGCTGTTTTTTTATATATATATAGGGCTGTTTTAATTTTATTTTTATGTATTATGTGTTTTATTTTTGTTTTATTCTATTGTTCTTAACTTACTTACTATACAGCACTTTGGTCCTGTGCTGGCTATTTAAAGTGCTTTATAAATAAAGTTGGATTGGATTGGGGAAATTGAGTGTTGACATTGCTGGCTAATAATCCTTCCTTTGAGGTGAAATTAGTCAAAGGACGACCACTCCCCCATCCCAGTAAACCTGGTTCAGCGTTGCTCAAATGGGATGGCTGACGATTCAGAAACCGTACCTTCTGAGCAGCTGTCATCGCTGCTAACGCTCAGCCTCTCTGCATTCCCCTGAACATATTTGTTGTACAGCTTGATCCTGAGTGCCCAGCTCAGGTCCGGCTGCCTCACTGTGTTCTTCAGTCGCCTCCTGGCATTGGCGAACCAGTTGGACACCTAAGAGAGAGAGTGAGTAAGACAAATAACAGGGAAGTGGGAACGTACAGCAAATAGAAACATATGTTATTGTTTGGATTCCAAATTCTTCCATATCCAGCAAAACAAAGTCTATCCCCTAAGAAAACGTCTGCTCTCTGCCTGCCATCAGTCTCATTCAGAAAAACCAAGCAAGACCGAAGCAAAAGACAGATATAGAGTCGGGTTGCAGAGGAGCTCTTTGAGGCCGAGACTTAAGAAACAACCCAGACGCTCCAGAGAGACACCGCAGCATGCATCCTTTCTGTATCAGTAACATGCAGAAACATTTAACACCATTCAAACGCCGGATGGCCAGCGAACGCAACATTTCATTAACTAACGTTCTAGCTGAGGCGTACGTTGCCCATGCTTATTTTGGACTCGCACGGCCTCCCACCATTAAGACATTTTTTCCAACACTGTCTTCAAGATGAGTGTCTTCAAAAGAGACATTTGATCCAGTGCTCTTCCTTTCACTGGGAATGGAGACTATTAGATATTATACAAGAAAAACTTTTCATGCTCAATAGATTTCAAGCAGTTTATGAAGGGGCTGAGACAGAGGCCTTATGCTAGAGTACTTATTTTTCCGATCCTCTCTTTCAGTATCATGTTTCTTGTTAACTAAGACCATCCCACATCCCTCTGTCGCGAGCCCAGCACCGTGGCACACCAGGAGGACGGCGGCATCTTGTGAATTTGCGAGGTGAGACACGAGACAGCTTGCTTATGAGAGCCGGGGAAAGAATGGCTCAGGGAAAAGAGACAGAGATGGTAACGCCTAAAAAGGCTGGACCCAATCGCCAAACCAAGCTCTCTCAGCCGTGGCTTGTCAGCCGCGTGTGTACCGTAGAGGAGACGGCATGCAGGGACGGCAAGGGATTTCAGTGGTGATGGAGAGATGGGACTGGATTTTCAGCACACTTGATTCACAATATTTACATGGAAAGAACAGGCTGTTTTGCTAAAACATGACAGATTTAGTTGTTTTAAACACCTGGTGCCAGGTGGGTGTTTCCAGGGAAAATGCACAGGAAGTGATGCATTCTACATTTCTGGACTAAACAGTGGAAGAAAGGGGTAGCTCTCATCCTCAATCAATGGACAGGCAAAGAAACGTGAGTCAACAGTTAGCTGGTGCTATCATATAACACTTTTTAATGGCTCTATATAAATTAGTTTAGTCTACAAAATGAGAAAATGCAATCATCAGATGGTCTCAGCACTTTTTAAAATTGTGGCTTATGTCCCAAATCCCCATTTATTAAAGATTATATCCTTTCAAAAGTTCAACAAATAAGAGAAAAAATGTCTCCAGGTTGATTTGAGATTTTAGAAGCAGTGCATTTGTGGCAGTTTGATGTCAGTCAGCTATTTGATTTGCTGATACATTGACTCAGCAACGCACACTTAACAGAAAATCAATTAAAAATGAATTAATAAAACTTTTATACCTCCTTCATGCTGGAAAATGCAATTATAACTTGCATACCTACACTCACCATCATGAAATATTCCACTGACCTTTGACGCTGCTGCTGGTATTTGAGTGTCAGCTTAAACGCATGCATGCGTGTGTGTGAGGTTGTGTGGTAGTGTGTGTGAGCGGCACAGCACCCCTGTGTCCAACACAAAGCATTCCTCTGCACTCTACTCGCCCTCACCAAAACAAACAGCTCCATCAGGCCCCCAAAATGAGAACCAGATTAAGCACCGTGGCCGGCAGCCCAAAAAAGCCGCCGCAGACTTTCTGAGGCTGTATCAGTGACCTTGTCAGCCAGATGATACTGTACATACACAGCTGCACGTGCCAGACACCAAACACACTCATATTCTCCACTGGGTTTTCCTCTCAGCGGTCAGTCGCTAAAGTCAAGCCGTCCACTGTACTCTGGCATCATCAGCAGAGGGTGCAATAAAGCTTAAAGCGTATATGAAATCTGCGTTTCTAACTGCATTACTGCAGATCAGAGGATGCCAAACTCTGGGTTGGGATCACTTCGAGGTCCCACGTGAAGTCCCAATGAAGTGTTGTCAAAAGAAAATGCAGCATAAAAATACATCCGTGTTAACGCAGAAATAATAATAATAAAAAAGACTGATTTCACCATTTTTCCAGAATTCTTATTAAAAAAAAAACCAGAGTAATGGTTCAAATTAATTTCAATTAATTGCCTTTCTTGTAAAGTCAAAAAAGTTACATGACATAAAATTCTATTTGCAACTAATTGAAGTTTGTGAAAAACTGAACTGATAATTACAATGTAACTACTGTATAATCTTTGTTGGTTTGAAGCTAAAGAAAAATGTGAGGCTTTCTTGAGAAATAAAGGAATGAAAATATATAAATGCGTCTATGTTTTTCACAACTGACCTATAAAATAATGTAAATCTAAAGCAGTCATCGGCAAAGTGTTTTTACAATAGTGTGAAGAAACAACAATATTCAGCGCTGCTGCATAGGTGCACAGTACTCAAGATGAAACACATGTTCCACTTACTTCAAGTGCAAATGAAAATACAGCTTTTCAATGCTCTCAACAACAGACATCAACCTTAACTGTTAAACATAACTCTAATGCTCTGTATTCACCGTCAATTTCTTTGTCACCTGACCTGGAAGTTTGAAGGATTACCAGAAAGTGGTCTCACCTGAACCAGCGTCATTTGGGAGCCGAGTGCCAGGAGGATTTTCTCTGTCTTGGTGGGGTAGGGATTGTCCCTGTGCTTGTAGAGCCACTGCTTGAGCGGCCGCGCCATGTCCTGCAGGGCCTGACGTTTGTGTCGGACTTTACCACCACTGGGACGACCCCTGTGAAGAAACGGGTAGAGTATGTATCTGGTATTTGAGTTTGTAGAATCTTTTATCTTTTCTTTAAATGCCTAATTTTTAACACATCTTCCTTCTATGAGTAAGATAGGAGATGTGCCCACAGTGCGTTTATGAGTTAACACAATGCTTGTCTTATTTGAATAAAGACTAAAAAGTAAACAAATTGTTTTGCTTTTAAAAATGTGATAAAATCTGAATTTAAAGCAATGAAACAGAATCAGGATTGTGCTGTATACTGAAATGAACAAACGGTGTTATGCGAGCAGCAAGTTGAGTCCTAAGTGGAGCGGCAAGTTGCCTGACTTTGTTAGTCATGACACATAAAGTGAAAACTCTACAGAGTGTGCAATTTTCTCACCAAAAGCACTGCAATTAAGCCGAGAGATGTTAAAGGGATGTAGAGATGGAGAAAAAGAACGAGAGACTGAGTCAGTGAGGGGGAGAAAGAGAATAGCCACTTGCAGTTTATTTTTCATTGCGTGTCCCACAAGCCGCCAACACATTGCTATGAAACAAACAAAAACATTCTACTCAGGCACAAAGATTTGCCAGATTAACTTTTCACACCCAGCAAAAGTGGATCAAGAACAATGTAACAGAGGCCACGGCTTGAGCCAAACCATCACACAAGGGACGGACAAAAAGCTGAAATTATACTTCTGGTTTTCACTTACAGAAAATCAAAGTAGGGAATATACTCTGTGGCCTGGAAGATCGCAAATATATTTTCTCAAATCCCAATTCAGCAACTCAGTGGTGAGTACAGCTACAACAGCAACTCATAAAAGATCACTACAGTGAAATTACACAAGATGAAAAATGACAATATATGAATTTTCTATGAGCTCTTAAATATATATTAGAAAGTCTTTCTTTGAGTCTGCTTTTCCTGAGCTGTAAAGGACTCAGTCTCACCTGTAGCTTCAGGTCTTATGAACCTGTAGATGTCAGTATGGTGCTGTGCTGCATTTCTCCTTTTATCTCACCAAAAAGCTGCTCTCACTGTTAGATGTAACATACTTTAGTCCAACCTCAAAGTCTACCCGAGGTTCATGTTCTACAAATATTTTCCTTGTAATGCAGATCGCTATGAACATCTTAAAGGATATTTCATTCCATGTTCTGAACTTTGGCTTTAAGCACACTCTCTCACACACGCACTCTGTTTAAAAATTTAATGTACTTTGTTAGCCTTATCCATCCCCTGAAAAAACACCTACAACTCACATAAGTTCACACAGAATTCTTTTAATATTACTGAGGGTTTCTTCTTCACAAGGCTCCTTAACATACCTGCTTTGCCCCAGGTTGCTGTGATATAAACTAAAAAACATGGACATATCAGGGCATATCTTCACCTACACCTGCTTCCTATTGTAGAAAATATATAGTTTAAAAAAATCAATGGCTGCTTACATGATTGACTAGACCACACAGAGAGCTCAAGGGTGAATTTATTTATTGAAAACAGATGGAGACCTCCGCTACTGAACAAGGCTGACCTACTTATTAACTCTAAGATTAGCTGTGAACATCAGCACCAAAATAAAGGCCAGATTGGGAAACGGTAAATATAAATTCTCTGAGCCCTAGAATCCTGGTGCATTAAATCCACATGAAAAAAAGCTAGACTTTTTTTTATTATTTTTATTACTAATTATTATTATTTTTTCTTTCAATGCGGAGATCTAGAGCATAATGTTGGGACCTATAAACGACCAAAATTGTGGCTTATTGAGGCCGGCGTAAGTTTCAAATGTTTGTGCATAAATGCGCAATTACGCACTGCTGCTGGTACTTTATCAAATCCAAATGTTAATAAATGCATCCGTATTACAACTCAGTGAGGCTCGTGCACACACATGGATTAAATATTTATTTTAACAGGATCTGAACCCAAAAGTCTGGCTTGGGTGTTTGGTCTGCTGTCTTTAATTCTGCGCACAAACTGGAGCGATAACCACAGCACTCTGATAACAAAACCAGCATTGTTGTTCCCTCTCTCTCGTTCTGTTAGCTCGTGCTGGGAGAAATAACCGTGAAATAGAGGCACTCCTCATTAGTAACAACCCGGAGGGGAACTCCAGTTAATCCAACTCCGCACATGCTGACCAGCAGCGTTAACCATAACAGAACGCTCCACATACCCGCTCCGCCGGTGTCTGATCGCCTGGTTGTCTCTGATGGTCTGGTTGCTGGAGAGGAGGTCTGGATGCTGTCCGTCGATCACTTCTAGATAATTTCTGCTGCTCATTTCCACCTCCTTCGCTTTCTCCTCAAACAGAACCTGGCTGCTCAACTTGTTAAAGACGATGGTGTTCATCTTTGGTCAGACAATCCACCGTTTTTCTCTGACGCGTAAAATATCAGAAGGAAGGAAGGAAATCCACGGAGTTGTCACAGTGTCCCAGTGTCTCTTCTGTGGAACAAGTGTACATATTTTACACAAAGCGTGCTCAGAAATACCTCGGAGGATGACAAGTAAATTCGCCAGGGAAACTAATACAACTTGACCTTTGGCCACAAGGATCACAAAAAAACAAAAAAACAAAAAAACACTTAATAATGCCAGTACTTTAAAACACACTTTAAAACATTTCTCTGACAAATTGAAATTCCAAACCTTATTAAATGTGCTTGCTCATTTATTTACACTTCATTTAAAAAGCTGATCAATCTGATTAAAGCAGATCGTACCTAACAGCGAAGCTTTGATGCATCAGCTGCTTTACAAACAAAACAACAGAAGCACTTGTGCAGACTCATTATGCACAAATATCCATTGATGTGCAAAGGTATGCGTGAGGAAATTGACATAAATAAAACTGTGAATAATGCATGCAGACAGCAGATCAGTTATGAGACAAGTAAATAAATGTTATGTGACTCGTTAATGCAGCGCTGCAATAAACTTACTAACTCTTTATCTGATTTTTCTACGTGACAAGATTCCACTCTCTTCAATTTAATGCACTTCCACTTTATTTGCAGGAGACAGCAGGGAAGTGGTACTGCAAGATTTACTACTAAACACTAAATTTGAGTTTGTAAAATGTGTTCAAGTGGAATTCACCTCCAAGTATCGTCCTCTGCTCTGTGGTCGCGCGTCAAGAACTCGTGAATGGTTTATTTTGTTTGGTGCTTCCACTCCTCCTCCCTTTTTAATACAAACAAACCTACAGCCTTCACAAAAATGTGACATTTTTATTTTTTCCTACTTTCACCCTCAATTTGTAACTTCTAGTCGAATACTGAATGTGTCCTGACAAGAGAAGCACCTTTGAGCTTTCATCATTAACCTGGCGCAAATTCCGCGCAGCAACAGCACTGAAATAAAACACCTAAGCGATATTACTACTACTATTAGTAGTATTACTAGTAATATTTAAGTTACAACCTGTGTCACGTTTATTGTATTTAGCTTTCTATATGGGGTTACAAGTGAGAATAAAGAGCCATGCAAACTCGGTCCAGTTCATTCAAAGTTGTAGACGTGTTTGTCCTCTACATCATCCCTGTCCTGAGTCTCAGTAACGCGGCTCCATTCCTGCTGCAGTAAATCACTGTGAGTGCAGTTACCTGTCCCGGGTCCCTCCTGCGTCTCTCTGCTGTGTAAAGCAATAATCCTGTTTCCAGTCACCCATTCCCTGCTCACATGTTCCCCTCCTGAGATCCTGAGCTCAAACCGCACGGACCGCCGTCTCCTCCTCCGCTTTATCGAGTGGCCTGCGCCGCGCTGCCCGGGACTCTGAATATCTCACCCTGCTCATGTTTCCTAGTACACAGCCTGAGACTGCGAACATACTGTTGATGGCTTACGCCTGTTCTGGGGCCGGGGCCAGCAGAGGGGAGGAGAGGGAGGGGAGGCATCACGCTGCAAAAAGTAGGCTGTCTAAATCACGAATCCACGGTGGAGTCTGAAATGTTACTCTGAGTTGTCAGCTTGTGAAAACCCCCTTTGGCTGGTATTTAGTCCTTCTGTTTGGAACATAATACTGCAAAGCAATATTATAAATAGTCATTAATGAAGCCTGAGTAATTAGAATGATAAATTAGTAGACCTGAGTACAGATTCTCTTCAGTCGTTTCCAGAAAATAAGCGCAAAAACTGTGAAAGCAGCGCGAAAAAGCACTACTAAATCCAAATGAGCAAATTTCATTCCATGTGTCATGTGCTGCTTTGTAAAAAACAATGTAGCACCTGTGTCACATACATGTAGTGTCCTAGCTGTGCAAAGGATTTGCAAAATGTGGGATTTTGCTAACAGCAGAAAACTCCAAATACTGCAACAAGGTCAGTCATTATGGTTTCTTTTCTTTAGCTCCTGCAAGATGTAGACTGAGTCAAACCCACTGTCTGCTACAGACACTTTACAGTGCAATAAACCTGTTGTGGATGCTTGTAAAGAGTATATCATGTTTTATCCCTGCACGATCACACTTGGGTCCTAAATGGTCCTGTGTCAAGAGATTTTGTCCCCTTCTAGCCACCACTTAGTGCACTTTTTTATACAGCTGCCTATCAGTGTATCAGACCATCTTCAAGGTCGTATGTTTTCCTTGTAATGAGAGTTATTCCATCAGATTCAACACAAAAACACAATTCTAAACTATTTTTGGTAACACTGAAAAGAAGAAAGAGAAAAAAAATCTGACTGTATATAGCCATGCCACTGCTGATTACTCCTGATGCACCCTCTCATTGACTTTCATTATAAACCTGTCACATTATGGGCTCATGAGTCACAGATTCTGAGGTTCTCAGCTGTGTGTTCCTTTGGGGTTTATCCAAGGTAGTTATTCGAAGGACGTGACTAAGCAGCAAGAGCCATATGAAGGGTTCGAGCCCTGTGTAATTATTGTTTATTTGTGCTTATTTTCATTTAATGGGGGAAGTTAACTTTTACTAACAGCTTGTGCAAACATACCATGAATGGCCCAGTCATGTAATGGTTTTAATTAAGAATAGTTTATTTGCTTGGATTATACACAATATGTATGTTTGACTTCTCACCTGATGTGAACTCATGTTACCTCCCATGACCTTGCCAGTGTTATCTAAACTTGTGGCGCAGCACAGACTTGACTGGGGAAGTTTTGAGGCTTGTAAATGGCATCTCTTTGTTCTTAATCTACCCTCTCCAAAGCCTCTGCTTTTTCTCCCTGCACCTCTCTTTATGACTCCTGCTTGTCATCCAAGTGTGGGCGTGCAAAACGATTCAACAGGTAGGAGCACAACATTAATCATCATGTCCCACTCTATAAGGATTGGTGGCAAGGACTCTGCAGGCGATCCCCGTACACAGTTCTGTTTCATCTCTGGCTGGAGTTCCTAAACTACACCGGCATCTGTTTTCTTTGTTGTCTATTCTTCGTCATGTGTTTGGGTGTTGCAGTTAAACTATAAACGATTTTTTTGAAACCTGGCACCAGTGACTATATATTTCTAGTCTACAGATATGGGTTACAGCTGAAAAGCTTTGGAGTATAATCTATTTTTCATGAAGTCTTGTAATGCTGAATGTGACACCTGACTCAGTCTTACTCCACTCACAGTTTAGACATTTCTGGAACACATTACTGCTTTGGATGAAAAATTAAGAAAGAAAAGAATTCAGCATACTTTCACTGTCTGATTTTAGAGGGTCCCCCCTCAATTTTGTCCATCAGTTTGGTCTAGTCGACCCACAAGGGGTAATTACAACTCAGCCTGTAAAAACAGTTGAATAATATTTTGTCTCCCATGGAGCTCAGACAAGCCCCAGAGATGATGTCATAGTGTCACAACAGCTTGTATTGCAGTCTTTCTGGACTTCGACCCATGCATATTAAGCATTAAAGGGCTGATGAAAAAGGAAATAAACACATATACTACAACCCATCAGCTCTATATTGTGAATAGGCTCTCACTGTGAGATGGAGGACAAGGACACAGGACAGGGTCCTGGAATTGGTCAACACCTTGGGCTCTTTCACGTGTTCCTTATGTTTTGCTTTATTTTTTGCATTGATCTGCTTGAGTGGTTAGTGGTTAAGTAAATATGCTTTGCTGAATTTGTAAGTTTGCATTATCACAAAAAAATTAACAGTCACTAATATTTATGGTATTCTCGTGGTAATGGAGAGAGTGACAGAATATCAACCAAAAAGTCAAGTCATTGAGTGAAATAAGTATTAGATCTCCTACAACCCAGCCAGAATTCTGGCTTCCAGAGATCGAATCGAATCGAATGTTATTTAATTGACCGATCTCAAATCATTACATGTATAAAGCATGTGTGTCTGCAGAATCAATTTCTTCAATTCTAACCTCTCCACTGCCATGGGTAAGACCAAAGAGTTGTCCAAAGACATCAGGGACAAGATTGTAGACTAGAGCAACAAGAGTATCAGGAAGAAGCTTGATCAGAGGGTGACAAGTTTTGGTTTGATTATTTGGAAATAGAAGAAACAAGAAATGATCATCAATCATACTTCTTCTGGAGCTCCATACAAGATCTTGCCATATGTGGTGAGGATGATCATGAGTAAGGTGGTGAATCATCCCAAGAAGAGAAAACAGATGAAACCAAAGTTGAGCAGCATCTACTTGTTTGGAGAAAGGGTAATGCTGAGTATGACCCAAAGAACACCATTGTCACAGCAAGGCACAGAGGTGGAAACATTATGCTTTTTGCTAAGGGTAGAGAATGACTTAACTGCATTGAGGGGCTAACAGATGGACCCATATACCGTAAAATCTGGGATGAGAACCTCCTTTCCTCAGCCAGAACATTGTTTTCCTGGAAGACTCATCCACAACCCATCTAAATCATCCAAAAAGTACCACCAAGACAACAAAGGCTAAAGAAGAAGTGCATTTAGGCCATGGAGTGGACTTAGAGATTTAGAGAGTTTCTGTAAAGAGGACTGGGTCAAAATTCCTGTGCATGGTCTTGATGACCAACTACAAGAAATGTCTGACAACTTTCCATACTGATGTTTGTGTTTGTATAAAACTAAACCCCTGATGTTCTCTCATAAAATACCAACTCCAGTATATCCATACTGGTTCATAGATTCATGTCAGTATATATCAGATCCCTTATGCTTAGTAAAAGAACATCTGGAGCATTTTCATACAATACCAGAAAGAAACCATTAGTTTACCCTACACTCCATCCAAGACTCATTTATTTAAATGTTGTACGTCAGTGTAATTGTGGGAAACTCTGTTCTTGCATCCAGTGTCTGTATGTTTTATATACCAATGACAGTCTCTCTTGTATTGTTTTATATGACATCGACTGAGTTCATTTGTATGTGGGTTTGGTCTGGCTTGCCAGAGGGGCGTTTGTAGTTAAAGTTTTATACACTTTCGCTCATAACATTTGTTTTCTCCTTAAATTTCCACTTCAGCTTTAATCCCTAAAGTTCCAGAGGGACTCAAATGTGTCTTATGTTTAATTAACAAAATACTGTAGTAAAGAAGCTGCAGAAAATTTGATATGTAGCTCTATATGCCATGGCCTAAAGACTTCCTTTTTAGTGTCCCTCTCTGAGGCAGGGATTGTAAAATTAAAAAGCAGACATTCATTACACGTTATGGATCCAACAGGGAACACCCGGTTTTGCCTTGAGCTACTTCATCATTCAGTGCACATTAAAGGATCTGGCTATGAAAAGTGGCCATTACTTAAAATCAGTGTCAACACCTTACGCCATTTCAATCCAAATTACCTTACGCCATTTCAATCCAAATTATTTTTTAAAGCTGCAGCCTCTGCACCCATCATCTGCCCCTCATTTAAGATGATGTTTTCACTCCATGCTTGGGCCTAATTGCCCCATGTAAACCATGTTGCAATTACATAGTATAACTACTTGTAAAGCCAGAAACATATTTGCTCAAAAGTTTTCCAGCTATGGTGGAAAGTGTGACTGAGAAGAAAATTTGCAGGTTGTATAAAATGACCCAATTGCTGTTTTCAAAGAGGGGTTTCAGACATTTGGGACACTAATCAGTGAGCTGAAGCGCGTGCTGTCTGTACATGTCCAGTGAAAGCAATCAAGTTCCATTAGCAGTCACTGGGATTGATCCCTAAAATTACAGTGGGGAATAATTGCAACTTGGAACACCCAGTACTGTTTAACCCTCCTGTCCTGTGTTGCATCTCTAAATATGGCGTTCCAAGAATACACAACTGGCTACTAAATTGGCACATAGTACTCTACAGGGAGGAGATACCACTTCACTATCCAGCATGAATGGTGGTGATGGATTCATCTGTCAAGCTTTTGTTGCAAACCGAACCCTCTGATTTTCATGCACTGTCGATACAAGCTGAATTAACAAATCATGCTTTTTTGCACACTTAAGCCTTGCCAAAAGTCCTCAGTCATGCTGGAATAACAAAGAAGCATACGTGTTTGACTTGTTCATTTATAATGCCAGTGCTGTTAAAACTTCAGTGAAACTTTTCACTTATTCGTGTGTCATCACCTCTATAATTCTGCTGCTGCTATCTTTGGTTCTCGAGTCTCCAGATATTTTTCTCCGTGAGCAGACAGCTGCAAAGCTCTGAAGTATTTGGGAGTGCTTGGGCAAACTGACAGCAAGAGGTAGACTGGGACAGGGGTTATTTATGCATAAGGCAAAAAGAAACTGCATTTATTAGTGTCAGAATTAAAGTTGAACAAACACGTTTGAGTTTAGAGGTCAAATAGAAAAGGAGGCCACATCAATGAGATGTTGTGGCCAACACGCCAAATAAGAAGAATGCACTTTTGAG